CAAATGGGGCCTCAAAAAAAAGCGTAAGGTGTCCCCAATGCTGACCACATGTTTTGTAGTCTCAACCCCATCTCCCAGCTCCTCATCTGATCCACTGTCTCTCATGGATGCCACTTTGGTTGAACAGTCTTCGCGCTCTGCAATTACCCTTCCTTACTCACCAATGTATTTTACGATTAGAGCAACTGGAAGATACTCCGTTGGAAGACTTCTCTGCTGAGTAAATGACATGAATACCTACATTTGCTTGTTAGCTGACATGTTTTCACAGAGAACAGCGAGAACATCGCATTTTTGAAGCAGCTTTTAGATTCGTATCTCGGCCTTCTTGAGCGACTAAAAGATGGATCTGAAGAGGAAATTCTTCATGTTGGAGAACTGGTACAATCTGTTTCTCTGCAGTCAGAGCTCATGCTTACAATTGATCTTGTCATATACCATATTCCCGGGTGCAGATCCGAAGGTCCGGATCTCAGATCCGATCCAGATCCGATGGACATATCTGTCGTCGGTCCACAGATCTGATCTGATTCTTATTTCATGTCCTGTTCATATACCTCTAACTATCGTTCATCTCCTTTCTGTATTCCTGTACACCGGTATACCGGTTATCCTTTACTCCGTTATGCTTACTGATCCGCTTTAAACTTATACTTCATTCCCGGTTACGGTTCGTGATCCATCCGACTTACCAATACGCTGTGCACATACTTTGCTTATACTTCGTACATAGCCTCGCACCTTTGCTTATTGATCATTCAATTAGTTATCCATAGTATATAAACCCTTGTACATGAGCTGTAGTAGATCAGTTCGAATATCATCTTAGATTGCACTCATTCCATCTGGACTCTAAGTCCCTCCGTTATCCGTCCAGACTTGAGTGCGATACTCTTGTCTACTCTGAGACTTAGGATTGATTCCTATAGTCTATATATCCATCTCTGTCTTCGGACAGTCCTCACCCGTTAGTTTCTAGTTCAGATCTGATGCGGATTAGCCGTTACACTATACGTTCAATATCCGGAAGCCTTAACGGATCCATTACGATACTTATCCGTCTCACTAGACGCGATACTCTAGCACTCTGAAATAAGGGGCAAAGACTCGGGAAAGGGGCACAGCGCACGAGCTGAGGCCAAAGCCCTTCAGATCCAATACTACTTGAGTACGGTCTTAACAGATCTCCAGATTGGCAAAGGAGCCACAGGTGCCAGAGGTGATGACACAAAGACATTGAAGTCTGTGATACTCAATTGGATCTCTCCCAGGGGAGAAGCAATACAACCTCCATTGCATAGAAAACTCCAAGATCGACCATGGTTTTCAACCACGAACTCACCGGATCTCTCCTCTGTCCTGCTGGCTTGGACTGGAATGACCCTCCGTACGTTCTAGTGTCCTGGTATCTGTGCAGTACTGAAAATTTTTAATGCTTTTTGTAACAGGACAAAAGAGAACCTTCAAAATGGTGAAATGCTGGTCTGCAGGGACCAATGGCCTATCTTTTTGTATGCTAACCACATTTATGATCCTGAAGACCCATGGTGCGGTCTTCTTAGGAGCCGCTTGCTAATATATGTGAGTGCGCACCCATGTTTTCACATAATCCGCTCACTACATAGTATTTCATCAGGCCTACAAGCATGTTTTCACGTCTCTGAGTTCAGTTGACAGGGAGCCAAAAGCCACGCAATCTGGAAACGCTCATCTCCATGGCATGAATTCAGTCACCATAGCTTCTATGGCTTATATTGCAACTCAGGTTTGTCGAGTGTCACACTTCTGTAGCAGATTCATTTTGACATAAGGTTGAAGGTGCAATTTGCTCTAAGCTCATCCTCGGTGTTCTCGCAGACCAATACAACCACCAACTCCAAAACATTTTACCATAGTCTCCTTGACCTCATGGAAGACCCGGAGGAGTGTAAGGAAGTTGATGAGCTGCTGACCTGGTGGAACTGGTATTTTTAATCATATTTCACCCTATTGTCTAGGCTGATTATCACATATGCAGCCAAGTTTTTCCCGCTTCCTCCTGCTGCCAAAAGACCCATCAGTGCTAACAGCGCCTTATCCAAGATCCAACAAAGATGCATTGCTCTCAAATGAGGTACAAATCTGGACCTTGTCTCTTCGTAGTCTCTTCGTAGTCGCTATTTAAACATGTCTATCTATGCTTAATGTAATTGCTTTGGCTTGTATAACACAGCTAGCTCGCTGAGGTGAATGCATGACAAAAATGTGCAACATTGCTATCTAAGTAACTGGTTGTCATAGCATGCCACATCCATCGATCCTCTCTCCAATTGCCGTGACATGCAAGGGAGCCGACATCACACTTGTGATTGGATGAATGAAAATAGGAAGCAAAGATTGTAAGGTGTTCAAATACTCTATTCGACCACATCGTTCAGGAGAGTTTTGCAGATTTTTTTGCGCTGGCTCACCTCGCATGTGATGGACATACTTCATCAGTCAGCTGATACAGGGCACCGCGCTGTCATCCCTCCACACATTGCAACTAAAGCAACTCCATCTAAAAAATCTGGCCTTCGAAAGACTCCAACAATTAGACAGGATATGGAGCATGGAATATTGAACTAACCTTGTGTGTGGCTATCACAACTCATCGAGGTTGGGCTGGATGTTAATCCGCTGCTGCTCATAGTCTGAACTGTACGCTTAGCAGGCCCGAGCATCACAGGCTAACGTCACAACTACGTATCTATGCCAGCACTGTGAGAGTTGTTGTCGATGGTCCAGTGGCAAGCTCTGCTCACAAAACCTAATCACGCAGGTACAGCTTGGTACTGTGCTGTGGACGCTCAGCACCCTTGGGCTGTAGGTGGTCTTGATCCAACGTAATCCAGCCATATAAATATTTAGCTGACATCAGCGTTTGTTCAGAGATTGGGGAGTAAAAAATGAGAAACTAATTGTGCATACGGTTATAAATCTCACCGATGTTGGGTAGGATGACACTCTGCCTGCATTATGTAAGCATGCAGGCATGGCTTGGTACTGCACTGTAAACACTCAGCACCTTTTGGCTGTAGGCAGTATTGGTCCAATGCAGTCCAGCCATGTAAATATTTATCTGAGGCTAGCATTGGTTCACAGATTGTGGAGGAAGCAAAATAGTCCAAGGTTACATGTCATAACCAACGTGGGGCAGAATTGTAGCGTGTTGCTAGTGGTCTTCAAGTAGGTGACCATGGTTGCTCTTAGCAACTTCAACATAATTGTGTATTTGGTGTATTCCATCTAACTAAGTCCAGGTATTCAAAGGTTTCCCATGCGAGGTACAATTCTGATGGATATTATGGAAATTTTAGGCTAGATAAAGCTTTCTAACAATTCATTTTTTTTCGGGTCGGTTACCTGATGTGGCAGCATTGGTGATGGTGCTGGGTTGTGCTTCAATTTCTAGTGAGGTCAATGTTACATTTGTAGATCTTGTTAGCATCAGCAAACCAGAGGTGTACTTGACAACCCTGGACAACCCTGGACAGAGTCACAGAGCCCACAGCAAGGGTTCTCTCTGTACAGCCCTGTACAGTGCAAGTGTGACATTGTACAGTGCAAGTGTGACATTGTACAGTGCAAGTGTGACATTGTACAGAGCTGTACAGAGTGTTAGGTACTTCGGACAATACAATACAGAGCACAATTGGGTAGGCCAGACAGGAATATCACAGAATGCTCACAGAAAGTGCACAATAATTAAAACCAAACAAATCATCATTGCGTCGTACTACAAATAGGTATCCTACGGAAATACTAAAACACGATCAGTCTAGTTGGAGCTTCAAGCCCCAATCATGGCGCCTGTTTGGATCATTGCGAGTCAGAATTCTGTGCAGCCGTCAACAAATAACACAAATTAAGACAAGCTTGACCTGTACCCTGCAGCACAAGCCCATTTCTTTCGGGCGGCCCGGCATTTCTTGGCGTGATAGTGGTCCTTCTTTACATTGTTGTAGAGCTTGATGACATTGTCATAGATCGGTTGATATAACTCAGCCACGAATTTCATTTGCTTGTAGACGCCAGTCTTGTATTTGTTGATAGCAGCAGCAAGCTAGTTAGATGAGTGGGCGAAAATAATTATGAGCTTGGGATCACATACCGCAGTCGCTGTGAGCGTGACAGCACCCTCAGGAACAGCATCAGCGAATAAGTCTGGAAATGTCTTCACGAGCACATTCTTGCCCTTGTAAAAATAGGACATACAGAAGCTGCCCAGGGCCTTGTTCGCAAGGTTATTGGTCCTGCCCTAATACACACGTCCAAGTCAGTAAGTGCGCGGCCGGTTCTAATCAACTAACCAGTGCATCCACTCCATCCCATAGGAAACTACCATCCTGCAACAATGTTTTGACATTATCACGTACCTCCCACTCACAGTCATCCTCATCGTCAATATCATGCGGAAGAATTTCATAGTGAGCTAGAACAATTGGACGCGCAACCTTTTTCATCTCAGAACGCATAGTAGCACGATCGTCCCATAGCTACAGAATTGTCAGCATTGTCCAACAGAGTAAGAACAAAAAATACCAAGACTGCCATATCTGATTTGTGTTCATCCCAGTATCCGTCATCGACACCTATACCTTGAGATCCAAAATCATCGAGCGTTTCTAAGATATATTCGATGGCCTTGGTTTGGAGAAAATCGCTGCGCTTCGACGCTGTGCTAGTGAGTAAACCCAGGCGCAATTTCTTCTTTGCGGCCTCTAGAATGTCCCTCCAAGAAGGAGGATAGAAACGAATATTCTGTGCAGTCGATTTGACCGTCCACGTTCTCTTGCGTGGTACTACAACCTCCTCTTCTTTGGAAGGTTCAGCCAAATCTTGAGTAGTAGCACGTCGACGTAAATGCTCAAGCTTGTCTGGGTCGGGTATACGAGCGCGACGGTTCCTTGCGTGATGATCGTCGAGGACATCTTTGGTATTTCGTGAGTTACCAATAGCTCGAGAGTGTGTGCAAGTAGCTTCATCTGCATAAGTCAAGCAGGCAAGTCAGTAGCACAATGGACACAAACACGGGATATCTCACCATTGCTGCTATCATCTGAGGTGTCGTGATCCTTATTTGGGTCGTAAAGATCAGGTCTGCCACCAACATCCTGGTCCTCCACATTATCAATGCCATGGTCGTAGTCTGCATACACACCATTCCACTTGTCCGCATCAGAACTGTTAGCGTCCGCATCAGAACCGTTAGTGTCCGCACCAGAACCATTAGTGTCCGCGTCATGATCTCTTCCTGTGTCATAGCCCTCATCTCCATATAGAGGAGCCTCAGCGTCTGAAACATCCATTCGGGATGGACGAACGTAATCAGCATTTGCATCAGAGTCCAGGTCAGTAGGCAGATTGTTGTCATTAGTGGTGGTATGTTGAGGGAGGATGAGTTTGGAAACCAGTTGTGTACAACCAGAGTGAGAGCGTGGATAATCGTGTTTGCGCGAATGAGCACCAGTGAAGGTGCGTTCAGGAGGGACAGGTTTGGACGCTGCTATAGCACAACTAGTGTCAGAATATGAATCAGAACACGGATTGTCACAATTCCGTGAATTGGCACCAGTGAGGGTGTGTTCTGGGGTGTTGGGCTGGGAGGATGTATGAGCAAACCTAGACAGAGCACCGCTATAATTGCATTTGGGAGTCATAGCCATAAGTGAAGGTGGGACAAAGCCAAACCTTGAGTCAACACCACGGGAATGTAAAATAGGTCTGTCCTCCATGACACGCCTTTCATCCTGCGGTAAGCTGGAGCTTGAAGGACGCTTAGTCTTCTTGTTGCTCGATTTTGCTGTTCTTGTCGCCTGATATCAGCCTTGATTGGTCTTGCCCTTGGTTTGGGTCTGGGTGCCTCTGGCGCCATAAAATTTACAGGCTGGCTAGTTCAGCATGTCCTGGGCAGGGTTTTCCTTCACTGGCTGCTGTCGTTTCATCTGCGAACATTCCATCTTTTGAAGCTGGCCAAGGCGTCCACCTTGACCAATGTTACTTCGCTTAGAGCGACGTAGGTCTTCTACGGTACTACATATCAGTTTTGTTAGATAGAAATTAGTATACTTACCAAGATCAGCTGCTACTACTGGTCTTACGTTTACCCATCGAAAAATTGAATGTGAACACGAACACTGTCATAATGTGTTCATTTCACAGGCTAGTAGTGCTACACATTTGAAACTCCGCAAACGGAGTGCGGCGGAACATGGTGCTAGAGTATAGTATGTAGGTACAACAAAACAAATGATGCCAACAGAAGGCAGGGCCTACAAGAACAGTAGTAAGTGGTGAAACATATACATCTACAGAGAGAGCACGAAATTCGAAGGTTAAGTTTCATCCCCCTCACTGAGACCTACACATCCGAATCATCACTCGGCTCAGAGGAAGACTCGGTTCCAGACAGTGGCTAGTTCTGAGGAGGAAGTAGTCTCATCGCTAGCATTAGAGATGGATATGCTGGCTGATTGAGGGTTCGGCATTCTCTGGATTGTCCACCTGGACATGTCCAGAGGATAAGGCTCTCCTGATTGAGGGCCTGGTACTTGCATCTATGGTAGGATTGTCCACGCGATGATGCTTCGTGCCAGAGAATTGGCGATGGTACCAATCACAGTAGCGGAAGTGGGCGGTTTGAATAAACGGCCACTGACATGAAGGACTTGTCGAGCTCCCAATCGAATGTGAGCGTGCTGGGGGTGAGAAGATGCTGGTGATTTACATTGGATTCAATAGTGTCAAGGGTGTGGCTCATGGTGGCCTTCACGCGATCCATACCACGGTTCAATGCATCAGTGACATCACCCATGTTAATATCCGGAAATAGTGTCTGCAAATGTACATCAGCATACTAATATTCTCATTATCAAAACACTAGACTTACTCCATGCGCCGTAGGATCAGTGGTTACATCAATACGCTGATCTCCAGATTTAACCCAAACATAATATTCGACAGACTCGATGTCAATCCACTCATGCCCCAATGCTACCACAGGCCCGAATAACTTGTCGGCAGTGCGTGCAGGAGCGAAGGCACTGTAAGTCCGCACCGATCCCTCTTCGCGTGTCTCCTTCCAAGCATCAGAGTCTGCCTGTGGGGGTGGCAAATTTCTTTTTTTCTTTGACCAAGATCATAAGAATAAGAAGTAGTTCTTCGTGCGATAGAAGCACGTCTCCCACTTTTGCCATGATGGCAGGTCGAGACTGAGTGAATCCGGATTCGACCATCCAGAGAAGTTGGGTCTCAGCGGCTATTGTGGTTGTAGGCGTCATGGTTACCTGCATGTCAGGTATGGTGAAAATGTTTTTGGAGTAGATCCGACTGTTGGAAGAGACGCAGGTCTTCAAGAGCGTTCGGTTGTACTGAACGCTGTGGAGAGCTTGTGAGATGATGAAAGACATCTCGCTTGTGGTTTGTTCATGGACAGGGTGCGGAGAATACACGATGAGAATCATTCTGCGAGGAAAATACGACATCCTATGATGTTGATGTAAGACGATGTTTATGCAAATAAATACAATTGACACGACGTACTTTGTGTGATAGTTTGAAAATGTCAGAGAGTCCATGTGCTCCAAAACGCGTGCATGATCATCAGGAGAGACGTTGACAAAGCATACAGGCTCCACCCAGACCTGCTGAAGAGCATCTATGAGTTGCTTGTGGCACCCAGCTAGCAGCGAACTGTGAGAAACAACTGATCTCAGTGGGTAAGCACCCTTACCTGGTTCTGCAGTGATGACATTCGTGATGCCCAAAACCTGATCGTGTTGCACGACTGCAGTATCAGTTTGGGGCTTGGCTGCGATTGTTGGAGTTTCAGTCTCTGCCGCCACTGTTGAAGTATTCGATGGTTTGTCTATAGATTTGTAAAATAAGCAATCTATGCTGAGAGTAAGCAATCTATTAGCATACAAGTTACATCCGCAGGACGCAGGGTCTCTGTCTTAGTGCCACGTCGTCTTGATCTGCTAGAGATCCACGATGTCGTGGATAAGACGGGCATGCCCGAACTCAGTTCACTCTTCGTATCAGACGCGGGAGTTTTGCCTCTGGAGTTGCGAGTATAATAGTATGGGCCTCCAACAAGGTCTCCAAAGACCAGCAGCCATTATAGATTGTGGTAGGTACAAAGCAACGGATCCTGACGTGCAAGCCTACATAGTTCAAAGTTTGGGCGCTATGCCATCGACTCTCACGATGGGCTGGCCAATGAAAAAAAAACCCCATCAATCTGAAATAGTTAATACCCCCCTATCTGTCTATCTACCAGTCACATGAAGCGCAAAGAACAGCTCTTTGTTCCAGAACTTATTCAAGTAAAACTCTGTGGTATGGTTAATACTGCTTTGCATCGTTAATCGCGGATCAGCTTTTCGACCAAAACGCGGGATGAGATGGACGGGCGCCACAATCTGAGTGACTGGGATAACATCAGCCAATTTTGTCGTTATTCGCTCGTCGAGCACGCCTGAGGATATACATACCCGTAGATTCGTCGAGAGTCACAACGTCTAAACGTTCGACATATGCAAGATATGTTTGAGAATATGAAAGTGGTGTGATGGGACGAAAAATTAAACGAAGGTGAGCGACAAAGTGTCCTGTGTTGGTCAGAGATCAGTAGTGTGACAGTATAGGTATAAAAACATACCATCTAGGCCACTTTTTGGCCACTTGTGCGTGTCGCCTGTACTAACAATAACAGAGTCATATCGGCCATATGGCCAGGAATTTGAGGGCGGTTCAACAGTGTAGTGCTTGTGAGGGCTCAAGATGTTCAGGGTCATGAAAAGATTTTGACTGCATCCATATCTTGCACCATATTTGAATGCGTTCAAAGGGGAGGGGGCAGCCAGGGTGTGCACGGCGCCTGCCACCAACGACAAAATGATCAACATGGGCGTCATCCTGGTCGAGATGATCGGAGACTGCGGGACGAAGGTCAGGAAGAGAGAAGTGTTCAGAAGCCTTATCCACTGTCATTTTTGTGAGTGTGGGGTGATCGTTGAGATGGTAAGCATTGATTGAGGTTGAGAATGTTCGATAGGGATGGGGAGCTTGAGGATGGACACCGTTAATGAGGTCGCGTGCGCAAGCAAAGTAGTCCTTGACAAAATGGTGAGTGAGACCACCCTCATTGTCTTCGTCACTTTCATGACCTTCACGAATCCTCCTGCGCACGCATCTGCAGTGCGAGGTCAAAGCGCTCCACCCTATCGCAACGATCAAGGTGGCGACACACTTGCGCATCGTAGTCGTGATTGTTCCCTGCCCTCAATGGCTCCTTCACAACCCTGATATGTGCATGTTCAGTGGGGTCTGCAGACCACTGCATGATGGCACCATGTGAATAAATACTAGGTATTACCCCTTGCAGCAACTCAAGTTTTGGAATCACCCATGGCTTATCCTCACCCCTTTTCCCCCAACGAGCACCAGCATCAACAATGGAATGTTTGAGCCAGTGGAAGGCTTTAAAACAGCGGTCCAACTCCACCACTTGCTTGTCGGTGAAATGCGGGGCTTGAGCGAGGTATCTAAACTCTGCGAGAGCACGAATAGCGGATACGAAGTTGGCAGGGGCAACACCAGCAATCACGCCGATGATGTAACGTTGAACATTGCGATGGTCTCGTCCTGTGGCCTGCTTCAAAGTGGAGATCCCTTCCTTAAATGCATGGTAACCAGTGCACACCTGGAGCAGCGCAAAACGAAAATCAATTTCTTGTGAGCCAACCACCAATGTGCACCAGAGACGGTCATGGTCCCAGAACATCTTGTGAAGATGGTGAAGTAGCTCCAGAGTGAGGAAGGAAGAAGGATTGGCAGCCAGCCAATTCCTCCAGAATGGCAAGTCGACACCATTTAGATTATAATGCTTACATGCCTCAAAGAATGCGACAAGATCAGATGGTGAGATAGACGTGATAATGGCTGCGATATTGGCGAGGGTGGATGATCCATTACGAGGAGGGTGTCGGATTGGGTCTCCAAAGTCTTTGCGGGTAGCCATAGTGACAGACAATGAGTTTATCGTAGCGCATGCAACGACAAGCTCCTCTGGAGTATCCGCGACATAAGCAACAAGGGGGGTGAAGCAATACCTGCTAAATCCCTGTAGATCACTCATCATAATGCCAAGACGGGCTGCTTGCTTCAACGGCTCAACAACGAGGTCGATACATTGGTGGAGTAAGCGGTCTGCGAGAACCCCGCGCATGCGTTTGTTCCTGTGCACGAACTTTGCAACAGGAAGTAGAGCGAGTGGGATATAGGCATGTAAGGAGCCTTTGGCGCGCACACTGGGATCGATATTGGTGAGACTAACAAGAAGTGGATGTGCGTAACGGTTACCAGCGATGTTGCTGACCTTGGTCTTGTCCGAGGAGAGGACTACACCAAGGAGTAATGCACCTTCAGGTAGGTCTTTCTGTGATCCTGTTAGCCATGCGGACCAAAGAATTGAAACATGAGACCTTACCTGAAGGTTCCAAGCATGGTCACCTGTCATAAATCCATGATACACTTGGACAGCACGTTCAGCAGACTCGTAAACTTTGCGAGGGATGAAATCAAAGCTGGTAGCCAACAGTGGGTGGCTGAGAAGTGATTGTAAGCACTCAATTGTGTCCCGATAAAATATTCGGAGGATCTTTGTTGTTGGAAACTCGGTCGTAACTGTTTCATACTTCCATCGAGGCAGTGCTGGGAGCAATTCAGAGCGTCCTCGGAGTTCTCTCGAAGACCGAAACAACAATGGCAGCATTTTGGTCTGAACATACTAGTAAGTTCAGACCGAGTAATTTAGACAGAAGAACTCACAAATTCAAGATTAAGGTAATTGTCAATATCGGCCATGCTAAGATTAGACCGGAGAAGAAACGATGCCATCTCCCAGTCTGGTTCGCTAGCAAAAGGCCAGTATCAGGTTTTCCTTCCTCTCCATAGCATATTCATCCTCACTGAACTGGTCCATGAAGGTCTGTCCAATACCCCATGTCTTGCCTGCACCGTCGAAAACCTCCACTTCTTCACCGTAATCTGCCTGTAAACCACCCTCCGCTTCAATGTTTGCATCAAATACATGCTCCATACTAAACTCTGGGTCCAAGGTCAAATCCATATCTTTGTCGAGAGGACTTGGAACTCGTGCTGGCCTCGAGATGCGAACCAGGTTAGTACCATCCCACTTGTAACAGCGGGAAGAAGGCTGATTAAGATGTTGTAGAAACCGTCCCTCGTTTTTAAGGCGCTTGCCGCAGGATGGGCAACGCATATTGAAGACGTGAAGTAAGTCACAGTCCAATTCAATTTGGGTCGAATGGCTTATCGGTAATTTCTGGCATGACGTGAACCGTAACTACAATGTCAAAGTATCGTTCAAGCTATGCGTCATCATCACAATCATCCCGGTCATCTATTTTCTCACCTTCGACATTCAGAGGCCAAAAAACTTCAAGTTATACGACTCTTTCTGTAGATCTAGGCTCCGACGTTCCAGACGATACGTCTGAATACTCAGAAGTACATAATATGGTGAGTAATGAGTTTGATTCTAACACTTGCCTTGAACTAGAACTTTCTACAGCACAAATGCCATAATTCACAGGTCTGGCAATTCAGCACTCATACTACATCGATGCCAGAGACTTCAGAAGAAGCTGTGTACTTGCTCGAGATGGCACAAGCCGATCTCGAAGTTCGACGCCTCGAGAAGGACCTTGCTGAGCGAGTTCTTCATCAATTTTGCATGCGCAAACACCATCTACTTCTTCAAGCGAAGAAGGCGAAGAGAAAATTTGGAGATGCGGAAGCTCATGTAGGGCGCACACGTGCTCACTTGATGAGGTGTGGGTTTGTCTGCTCAGAACGCTCACTTTGGTCTCCTCGTCCTGCATCCATCAAATCAGGTAAACAAAATTATTTTAAAAATTACCATGCAGTGGCTGATGATCATGCGCTATTAGGATCTGTGTCTGTTTGACAATGGATTAGCGGTTATAGGTCTACAAATGTAAATGATTTGTACATACACGAGCAGACTCGATTGATCGTACCAGAACACACAATCGACTATCAACCCATCCTGGCGTATGTAACCTCTCGGTAGAAATGGTATTGCTCAGAAACGCGCGCGTGCGCGTCGTCGTGCTGCATCGTTGCTTCCTCAACCTAAGTCCAACTTCTCAATACATTTGAAAGCCACTGCATCCCCCGCATTCCATACAAACTGTTTGTCGTGGACGGTGAATCGAAGACAGTTTCCTCTGCGACCCACATATACAACAACATTTAATGGTAAGGTTTGACGCTAACGCAAACCATGCTCAACCTCTGGACTGATCCCTTCGCTCACAGTCGATTGTGCGCAGCGTTGTCGAAAGTGAGAACACGAAGATACACTGTCTATTTGCAGAGATGATGCCAATATAGTATTTCCTGAGTTGCTACTGTAAACACAATATATTGTCGTAGAGCCGACCGAAGGGGAGTCCTTGTATGTTTTAGCCTGAGTACTAGTGTCGAAGTACTTGATTCAAGTTGAATGAATATGGAGCTGTTAAACATATTCTCCGAGTGTCACTGGGTGTAGTACTCTCTATGTGAATAAATACGAGCAAGCATTGATTTATTTGTGAATTTACATCGCCGAGCAGTATGACCCTGTGCACTGTGCGAGACTGTATCACACTGTAGCCCTGTGTGCTCTGTGCGCTGTACCGCTGTGGGGCTGTGCCAGTTGTGTCGCTGTGGGAATCTTGTATCCAAAACGTGTGGTTTGCTGATGTGTCAGGCTGTCCGTGGAGACCAGTCAGCTTTGCCACCACCCATCAGCATCTTCAGAAACCAATATTAGTCTCATTGCAATATGACTGCAGATATTGATGTCCATGCATTCTATGTTGAAAAGGCTACCGCTGCCTCTTATCGGGTTGGGGGCTCAATCAACAATATCGGCCAGTTGAGAGCCAGTCTCCAGCGCCAGGCTAGTCTCAAGTTTGACAGAGAATGGTTACAACCTCCTGAAATCCATCCTGATCCAAGTTCTGTCCTTCTTGCTACAAGTAAGTCTGTTTCTGTTTCTGTTAACATGGATATTTATTCATACTGCCTCCAGATGTGCATGGTACCGCCATACTTGAAGATAATTCAATGACCCTCGAGAGCGTGTGCGATTCGGCAAACCACATTCTTGCTATCATTCCATCGCGGCAGTTAGACCCCTCCAATTCTCCCTCGGTCGCAGCAATCATGACCCAAACCTTGGCGAGTCCCGCCCACGGGAAACATCAAGAGTTAGTCAACCTAGTGCTATCAATGAGTAACGCACTCGAGCTCAAGGACCAGATGAGGAACGAGCAACAGGCCGACTTCCATGAAATACTGCAGACGTTTCAACGCGATCAATTGCAGAGGGACGAGGAGGCGAAACAACAGTTCCAGCGATACGCCAAGGATACAGAGCGACAACTAAAAGACACTCAGCGACAACTGAAAGACACTCAGCATCAAATCAGCCTCCTCAAGCAAGAACGCAGCCTTGACCAATCACGAATCAAATTTTTGGAGGACAGCTTGCAAGAAGATAGATCGCGGATCAAGGATCTGGAGGATGGTCAACAAGAGGATAAGTCACAGATCAAGGACCTGGAGGGATCGCTTAGGGAGGAGAAGAAGATCCGGATGGAGGAGGGGGAGATCGCGGAGAGAGAGAAGCTATCCATACTATTAAGGATCCAGGAGATTGAAGACGAGCACATTGAAACCGCTGGGTGGGTCAGCGGTGCGGTAAGTATCAAACATTTAATTCAATAATGGCGCTTGAACAATTGGTTAGGATACCAAACTCGTGGATCGCATCTTACTCCGCCACTTACTCGATCTCGCGCAAGCGAAGCTAGCCACTGCATCTGGACTTCCCAAGCGTGAAAACAACTTTCGCATTACGCAGTCATTCCTCTGGAGGGAGGCACTGGCTTCCTACCAAACATCTGCTGAGCGCTTGCAAGCTGCCCGTAAACTGTTGAATGCACCAGGGTTGACGCTTGACTCTGCGACGAAAAAATTCGTCTCATCCGACACCGGGATGAGTCTTGTGGTCCAGAAACCATCGCTGATCCGTGAGATGGGTGATAACGTAGCACACCCTAAGTACGTATCAAGGGATGCATACAAAAAAATAATCGCGCGGCACACTGTCACTGATAATCACGCCGGACTTCATGCTATCTTGGAGTATGTTAATCCTGTACCCCAGTCGAACTGATTTTGCATCATGTATCATTCACAGCATCGTATTTTTAGAATTTTCCTTCAGCACAAGTCAGGAGTACGAATAGGTAGATTTACCAATGTATGCGTATACCAATGGATTTTTAGTCATGTGTCAATGTATCACGTTCGGACTGACTTGACAACGCTTGTGATAATTCTCAGTGTACCCCGAGAGGTCAGTCAATGACAGCGGCCACATGATCTGTCTGGCAGTACTTACCGTTTTTGATTGTTACAACGTTAGAGTGACGGCTCTGTCGAGGCCAATCGGCTTGGGAGGCCGCTGCGACTCGATGACGGTCACCCTCGAATTGAAGAAAGTAAGTATAAAAGTGCTGCTGCCAGTGCAGCCGCAAGCTCGAGTCTGACTTTGGGTATGTGACTCATCCCAACTAATATGATCCTATCGCCGACTGCTGCTTTACTAGATGCTTACTCGCACAAATCTGCACTTACCTCGAGGCCGAACATTATGGCTGGATTATTTACCAT